CTCCATGCAGTGGATGTCACACCTTTGAAAACTCAGTTGGCTTATTCCAAAACAGATGCATAAACTTCTTAGATAGGAGTAGCAGAACAGCACTGTATTCTGAAGAAAACAACCCAAATACCTCCCCCTCCCTTCTCCTTACACACTGATGCACAAATTCACACTCTATCACATTTTTAACCTTGAAACTTTGTGGACTTCTCCTCTGACATTAGCTTTGTAAGAATCATCTACTGTTCCCCACAGTCGTTGCTATACTAAGGCACTTAGCATCTCCATAAGGGCTTATAAGTGTATCAGTACCATATAGGGAAAAGTATACGTACAGGTATACAACAGCACAGCTTGTGACATTACTAACATAGCTTTATTATCTGTCATCAAGTGTAGCACTGTGGTTGGTTTTGAGACTATTCCATGAATGTCTCATATCGGTCAGGTGCAGTGAATTTCACTGACAGTCTCCAGTTTTGAAAGGTTCTAGTACTTCAGGGTGAAGGTTGGTTGCAGCTTGCTGTCAGTTTTCCAGGTTTCTAGCTTCCTTATGGAAGCTGTAGCCAACAAGGCAGTGTAATACGCAATACCTCCTGCTGTGACAAATCTGAGTTTACATATGAGGTTGTTTTACTTCAATTGAAAATATCCCCATTATCACATTATGTGAACGTAGACTTGACTCAGTTCCAGGTGTTGCAAAGGTGCGATGGTAAAGTACAGCTTTGCTGAAAAGCATCTTTATGCTGAATGCATTTTTACTTCTTACTTACCTCTTTTAATTGTTTCTTTTGTGTAAACTCAATGCGAAGGCCTACTTCAGATTTTTTTTGGCTACTCGTTAGTATCAGTAGTATTCTATTTCCCATTCCTCATTATCTGACTCCTGCAATGTTTTGGTTTAGTCTTTTCTATGAAACAAAACAAAAAATAAAACAAAAGCTTAATATTTCAGTTTATGCAAGTAGTTTCTACATTTATACGTAGATCTTCACACTGTTTTTAACACTTAGCACAAAGGTGTTTTCATCACTTATAGCTATGCTTTTATGGAGTATGCTTTTATGGAGCTAGCATTTGGAATAATTAAATACAGAAGTTAAACCTTAATTATTAGACAAGCGTAAGTATTCTCTAATACTTAAGAAGGCTACTTTTCTTCACTATTACTTGTTTTCTGGTTCAGTAATAACATTTCACTATTTTTTAGTCTCTCTCAAAGTTTCACATATACACACTTAACCCACAGTTCTCTCAACATATAACTCTGTAAGAACTGGTAGCACTTGATTTATTTCCTCTTTATTTCAGCCCTTTTACCTTCTTGATAGCCTAAGACTCTTTCTATTTTTATATGTGCTTTGCTTACAAAGTTAAATGAAAAAAACAGAGCTGATATCAATATATTACTGGGTCTGGTTACATTATGCTCTTACATTTTAGCAGTACTTCAAAACTCAATTGACATTAATAAAACCATTTAACTGATAAAATTCTTCAGTTACATTCACATCTTATTTGAGCCTGAAGCATTATGTTTATGTTTATTGTTTTTCTTGCTTTATTAATTTGAGGCTTCTGCTGCTTCCTCCAACATCTCCAGTCATTGTACTTTCACAGTGGGTGCTGGCCATTTATGCTATAGGCATTTTTCCTGCTTTGCAAACACATTTTTGTTTCTACTATCTCTTCACATTTTTGTTATTAACATCTGTAGCAGGGCAGCACGTCTTAGCAATCATTCTTCTTGAAGCTTTTCTGATTTCTTCTGTTTGAATATTCAGCTTCTCTCTTTTCTTTCTAAATCTTGGAGTACCCCATTTGTCTACATTCTTTCCATAAGAGTAGGCCTTCTTAATTGCACCACGTACAGCCTGGACGTGATTAACTCAAGTTTTGCATTGCACTGACAGATGTGTTAGTACCCAGCAGGATATCAGGAGTCTTTATATCACAATCACCTTTACAATGACAAATTTACTTCAATTCTTCACTTTGCTACCTGCCTTCTGCTACACTTAAGGGCACTGTAGATTCACATGGGCAAATGTATCAGTTTACATGATATCTAATTCACACTGTTCACACTCTTGTCTTAAGTTCTTTATGCAAGGGTTTTGGTTTTACTGCTCCTTTAGATTTTACAACCTCTTGATCATATCTGGAGATGGTTTTATTCTCAGTAGGTGCACACAGACGCCTACACACAGGGCTGAACAACAATAGATTGACATGGACAGAACAGTTGCATTTACAAGCACGCCATGCACACAAATCATGCTAACACATGCATAAGCAGTATGAATGGCCTGGTCCCACTTCTTTCTTGCCAGTTAATCAGCCACAAAGCTTGGCAGTGGATTTTACACACTCTCACAAAGAATCTCTCTCTGATATCTTAAGCACTTTTCAGTTCCAGTTCTGAAATCAAGATGAGAGATGCCATTTGGTACCTGCGCATAATCCATTGGGCACTGTAAAACAACCATTAGCCTTAATTTATCACATAACAAGCCCCGCTTGCTGGTTAAAAATGTTTTGCATCCAGCTACATTAGGGAGCATGTTGCATCATTTAGCAATTCTGTTATGGTTATGGTCCAGGAAGTTTGCTTATCATCATCACATATGAATTCCTTCAGCTTCTTCAGGTTAAAGAGCAGTTTGTTGAGTAGGGTCCAGAATCTGCTTGGCCACATGAGCTCTCTCTCCTTTTGCTTTGCTACCTTCAAACCAAGTAGCTCAGTTCTCCAAGCCAGGAACTCCTATATGAGTCCCTGGTTACCTCATGGCTAACTGTTTCCTCTTCAGATTGCAGACATGAGATGTAACTGATTTAAAAGACCAGCGTTTTGTTGGTTCAGTAACATGCAGCTAAAAACTCATAATTCAGTGATCCAAAATTAATAAATGCATCATATTAAATGATAGTTTTATAGTTTTTTCACCTGATTACAGACAAGAATAAAGTTACTAATCATTACTTTTCAATCTCACAAATCACATATATATGCCATTAAAAAACAACTCCTTCACTCTTCCTTCCCCATATTGCTTACTACAGGGGCACAACTCTATCCTTCACACTGCTGTCTTACACTACACAGCATCCTTGACCTTGAATTCTTTTAATTACTATCTTGGTTTTCTGAATAGCCTGCAGCTAGTAAAGAGAGCTAGTGTCACAGGAGGACTTGTTTACAACCTGTGATACTGAAATCAGGGAGATAACCACCAATTTTAAACAACGAAGGAAAGAAACATTATCTTACAGTCTGGGTGTTAATACAGTTTTATAGAGATGCAAAGATCACACTATAAACATAACTCCATTTCTGTTGGAATAGTGAAGTTGGTACTAAGTATTTCTAAAGAAGTGTCTGCAGTGGTTTGCAATAATATTTAAAAAAGAGGGAACCAGCTAAAGAAGGAGCTTTTTATGGAAAGAAGTCCTTTGTGTCTCATGGCACGGCATTTGAAAAGGTTCCAGTTTCACTAATCATCTCTTCTAATAAAAGAATGTAAGAATATTAGCAACTCAGTCCATGCCTGAAGATGTTTGGTTTTTCAGTCCTCATTGCTGAAACATTAGCATTTTTCTCCCTTGAAACCATTCAAAGAGAGCAAGTTGTCTTTATTTTGTTTGAAGTGGATTGTGGCAGAAAGAGAGCAAGCACCAGTAAAATTTGTAGAAATGTGTATTAAAAAAAAAAAAAAGAAAAAAAAGAATTGCACCTAAATCTCAGATTCATTTTTTATTCATGAGATCATACTTCAACAATAATTATTTGTACTGTACGGTTTCCTCCCTACAAAATATATGCATTTGTATTTAAAAGTATCCATAGTAGATGTGCCACTTCATTTAGAGTGCCTGTTTTTCCCCATGTGGATCTAATTTGCATTGGGAAGACAAATAGAAAATTCAAATACTCAGGAAGGCTGGTACTTGTTGAGATGCACTGTGTGTTGCATTTCTTTTTCCTTCTTGCCAAGTCCATTTTCCTGTGGTTGTATCTTCAGACCTTTAAACTCAGAACTTAATGTGAAGAGTTTATTGGTTTCCAGGTAGTGGTCTGAGGCTCAACCACTGCAGGTGTGTGGCTAAGAGGTGTTAATTGGATGATGGATGCACAAAAATCGGAAACACAACTCAACAGTAAAATCAAATTAAAGCAGACTCCTGCTGATCACAGTGGGTTTTGTATCAGGCCCTGTGGAAATTCAGAAAATACTACATATTGCAACAAATCTGAAAACCCCCAGGTTCCCCGATTCTTCTGTTCACATAAATACCAAATGAGTTTTCTTTTCCTGATACAGTTCTGTTCTGCTGAACTGCAACTTCTAGTAATACAAAGTCAGAACAACTAGTGATGTCTAAAAACTAAAAAAAAAAAAAAAAATCATAGAAAGAATAGCTAACTGCTAAAGAGAATAATAGGTTATTTTTTTACAAGGGTACCTGAGAAATATCTAACTTCGAAAGTTTACTTGATTTTACCCTTAAACACATTTGTTTAAGAAAATTCTAGCAAGAACAGCTTGGAAGTCAGTGCAAAAGGTAACATTATTGCATATGGAGGCCAGCGTTTCACCAGCCTGGATGTGACTAGATACATACAGTGAAATCATAACAAAACCAGCAATTTGTTTGTTTGTTTATTTCTGCTATTACCTTGAAGTACCTGGTTTACTTGCACTCCAAAGGAGACACTTCATTCTGTTTAGCAATGCAGGCAGGTACCTGGCTATTCAGAAACAAGGTGATGGCCTTATGAAAAGTAGCTAAAAAAAATTTTGAGGCTTGTACAACTTTCACAGAGAATCTTAACATCAAAGTAAAATAAGTCCTAAGGGTGGAGACTGAGTGGAAAAGCAGAATGGTTGACCTCTATTGCTGTCTAAGGCTGAGGCAGAAGCAGTTCTGTAAAATCATCAAAGACAATGTTATGGGCAGTTTTGATATCTGCAGCAATAAATAAGCGCTGTGGTTTATGCTTTCAGAATATGAAATTGAGAGATCATTTTTCCTGAGAATGAAGTGTGTCCTAGCCAAGAGGAATGCAGGATTGACATGCAGTGGCTACAAGGTAACGTGCATGAGTTTTTACTTTCGCATATACAAGAGACAAGTTCATTTAGTGAGCTTGGTTTTAACTACATGTAGCTGAAAGCAAAGTCTTTGATGGAAAGAATCAGATCAGATGCAAAAGTGCTGATGCAGATTCACTCAGTAATGTAGTTCCAGACCCTCACCGAATTAACTGGGATTTATTTTGTTGCACAGTTCCATATTTCAAACCCCTGAAGTTCCAGATTGGGGTATAGAGAACCTCTTGCACCTCTTGCTCATGAGGTGCAAAGAGAATACACGTTCAGATCTTGTTCCCTTATGGAAGCAGAGAAAGATGGGGCAGGATTCTATACACAGGAAGTCGAAAGTCTCCCCACATCCCTCTGCCTTGATCTTACTGTGCTTTTTCTGAGCAGCCACCCAATCACACAGGTCACTCACTGACCTGACTGGAATCGCCTCAATATTCAAGAGACCGTAATGTTGCCATAAATAATCACTAATATCAACTCAGGGTTTGAGCTCTACTAACCTATGAGGATTGTTTTCAAATCCTGCTGCTTGTATTAATCATACCTTTACTACATGAAACCAGAAAGACACAGCATACAGCATATACTGAAATTCTACAGTAACATATGCCATACAAGTACATTTTCATCTTTGCAGTACATATTCACTGCTCTTTGAGATATACAGTAAAATTTTATCACCTAAATATCAGGAGAGATGGATATTTCACATATATCCTGGTGAGGATCTGTTTCACTCCAGTCATTCAAAAACAAAAAGAAAAGCATGCAAGAAAAGCAGATCTCATTTAAGGAAGGCATTCAAGGTCCAGGCATTTATCAGCTTATTTACATTGTTATCTACCTGCCTACACTGATTTATACGAGCCCTTGTTTGCTCAGTTTCTTCCGAAGTAAAATCATTCTGTCTCAAAGCGGAATCTGAAATCAGATAAAAACATCAAGATTTTAGTTGTGATATCTCTGTATGGTTTCCTTTTTTCCATGTATGGCTGGTGACTAGAGGAATCACAGTCTGTCTCTTTTTCTTCATTATCACAAATCTGCACATTGAAGAATGTAAGGATGTATTCATTTAGAGGGGTGTCAGCTTAAATTTATTCTCTCTGACTGTACGTAGAGTCAAAATTTAATACTACTGAACATATTATATGAATAGCTCAAGTGCAGGAGAAGTTCAGTAATGAAATAGTGTGAGAATCAGTAGGATCTGCAGGAAGAAATAAATAAAATTCTTAAATAAGTTTTGATATTGTTTATCGGAGGTGAGGAAGGAGGTTATACTGGGGGAATCTATTTATAGGTAACAGTTCAGTAAGTTGTTCAGAGTTCTAAATACACTGGAAATGAATTCCTTTACACTGGATGCATTTAATAGAGAATCAAATAAGGAAATTAAGCTGAAGGATGTGTATAGAGTATTTCTGATTCCCCACAAAGCCCAGACAAGTGTCCTGCCTGCTGTTTGAAGTAGAAAATTGGCAGGAGCAAAAATAATTTCTAGACAGTAACAATAAATTAAATAAATTTTATCTTGCAGAAGAGTACCCCATTTTTTTTAATTATTTCTCCCTCTCTTTGGCTGACCTTGTGTAGTATTAAAGGCTAACACTGAAATTATCATTCCTATGATTAGGAATTGCATATAGTAATTCAGGAATCTGGTCTCAAGACCCTGGGTTTGGTCAAAAGAATGTCATCTGAACTTGACTGAAAAGTTCATTTAAAAGGTCATTTAAAGCTCATTTCCAGTGCATTTGCACAGATAACCTCTGGTATTTACAGATGTGATACATTAATTTCCATTGTATACATATACGCGTATGTCAGAGAATTGGAGTGATTTAAAATAGCACCTTCCATATTTTTGATTAACAAACAAGAAATTAATATCAAAGGATGTTTAAAATTAAAACTGGAAAGCAGTATAGATAATCATTAAGAGCACATGTTGTAATACTGGATTAATCATGTTGTCTGAAAATACAAAAACTGCATTTATTGTGTTTTAATCTCCATTTATAAATTAACCACAATTCTGAAGCCTTAACAGACTGTGGAGTAATTGTGCTCTAAGGGTGCATTGCCTTACAACCTCACTGAAGCTGGGTGGACAGTTGACTTTCAGCCTCTTCCTTTGTCATCAGATATTGACTGTGTTTTCTTCTCATGCCAGGTCATCCACTGCAGTGGCTATTTGAAGATAAGGCAGTATATGCTCGATATGTCTTTGTATGATTCCTGTTACCAAATTGTTGGACTGGTGGCTGTAGGTCAATCTTTACCTCCCAGTGCAATCACTGAGATCAAACTTCATAGTAACATGTTTATGTTCAGAGCAAGCTTGGACTTGAAGTTAATATTCCTAGATTCCAGGTAAGCAGCTATTTCATTTCGAGCATAAAATATTTTCAAAGTCAAAAGTTCTAAGTTACGGTGGGTTCTTTTTGGGGGGTTGAACTCGTTGATTTCTAGAGGGTCCTTCCAACTCTTACAATTCTGTGATTGTTTGATTCTGAACAAATCAGAATTGCCATGAGAAAGTAAAGCACTACAAAGTTATCTGGAAGACAAAGACCACGTGGGTCTTCAAAGCCCTTTGGGTAAATGGACAGTCCATATTTTGTCTTGAATGCCAACATAAAAGAGTGTGTATACTTCAACTGATAGCTACATACATTTTCAGAGAGTCAGTTAAAGTCTTGCTGTGATTAATATGTAGACAAGCAGTAAAAATTTTTACTTTAAAGGACATAAATATTAATAAGCAAACCTAGTTAAAGTAATATGTATGCACCATCATCTGTAATTTAAATGTCAGCAACAAAAATGTTGAAATCAAATTGACTTGCCAGGGTCATCAAGAGCTTTTGCCAAAGTAGTAAGAAAACAGAATATTCTACATTCTAGTTTAATGCCTTAACAATGAAGCCAACTGTACTAACTGTGGTTACTGGAGTGAAAATTAATTCCATTGGATAGTACATGAAAACACAGCCTTTCTGAAGAAAACTTGGGAAAATGACTATTGTTTAGGAAAGAGAATCTGCTCTCAGTAGACATAACTCAACGGCTGAAAAGGGGAGAGCAGAAAACCAGAACTAAAGTAATTGTAAAATGACTCATCTTTTTTGGAAAATATAGTATCTTTTACTATACAATGACCCTTTGTACAGTGCAGTTCAAGATACCTTGAGGGAAAAAGTCCAATTCCCAGACAGTGTAACCAATTTGACCACTGACAAGACAATCATTCTTTAACAATCCCTACATACAGAGCATTATGTCACATACTCTCTCATTTCCCTGACATTCTGGATTTGTAAGAAGCAGAAATGATATTTATGTGTAAAAGTAAAAAAGACTCTGTATCCAAGACTGGGGAAGTTTTTCATGGCAGGGCAACCATGGAAGAACATGTTCTTTTTCCATGTTAAGTCAATGAGATAGTGGGACATCAGCTGCTAAAATACAAAGAACTGGTTGTTTTTCCATTTTTTTCTTGGCATGCCTTACTTAGTGTAACAGCTACAAAGAGTTCAGCAACATGTCTTTGCATGTGGAAAAAGGAAAATGATGTGCCTAAGAGGAACTGCCTGAAGATATTAGTGTCTTCAAAGGAGACAGCATAGCCGGAGGTGTTGACAGGAGCAGAGAAATAACCAGTACTGTTGCATAGCTGTATTTATCAAAGAGCAAATGGGTATCATCCATACGCATAACTGTGTATGGACGGTTATGGACGGTTAGGAGTATTAAACACTACTAGAGCCCTTTGCTTTCCCAGCTGAGCAAACCAAATTATTTTTTCCTCAGACTAGGCGTGTACTAGGAATAAGACAAAACTGTTTTCAGGTTTTCTTCTGGTATCTGTGCAAGAAAAAGAATTGCTAGATCTTTAGCTGTAAGTCATTGAGCAGACAGGTGAGTGTTATAGCCGCAAAAAGAAACAGGCAAGTCTTTCTGGATACTCAATACAACATAAAGCATGCAATAGATAATTTGTCAAGGTAACTGAAAAAAGAAAACAGTTTTTTTCTCCTTTAGAGAGATATGTAGCTTCTGATTTTGGTGATGCAACCTTTTTTTTTTTTTTTAAATTGCCATATAGTTTACAAGGCTTTAAGGTACTCTAGAGGGAAGATCATTAGGCCAAGCTCCGTTTCTTTCTGTTTGTGCTTTGTCACACACAACAACCCTCAGAGCCCAAGTTCCCTACAGTGACTTTCTGATGGGTTGTTTTTGCGTTAAGGAAGTTAAGCGGTTCATTTATAGACTCAAAGATTTTGAAAGTTTGGGTGTTCCTATAAATCTTAAAATTCTTTGGCCCATATGAAAACCAAATTCAAAGTAAGGCTGCACTTCCAGAAAAATTCACACCTGGCTTGAGTTTGTGGCTTTTTGTTTGTTTGTATTTGGATTAACTGTCTCTGTACTCACCAACTAAGTAAGAAGGATGAGCTGCCACCCTTATTTTAATTGCAGAAAATTCAGAAGGGACGTGGAAATCTAAACAGGACCTTATACCAGCTATTTTATATGCTGATAGGCTTAAGCAAGAATTTGGGCCCCCAGAATTGTAAGCTAGTAAGGACAGGGCACATTGGAGAGGGGAAGCACATGAATATGTTCACATAGTGTCTTATGGAAACAGATCACAAGTGCTCATTCTGTGTTGGCAAATCCTGAGGCAAGGCATTGTCAGATGAAGGTATAGCTTCATATTTCCCATATAGCTATAAGAGATATAAATGCTTTAGTTATGAATTAGACCATGAAGGCATGGGGCCTTTTTTGTTTGTTTATTTGGTTGGTTGGTTACTATTTTTTTGTTTTCTGATTTCCTTCAGAAGAATCCCACTGTGTCTCAAATAGGCTGTAAATCTCTGTGCAGTTCATGTGATTACTTAGTGTTAGAGCAAGAGTAAATAAGATGCACAGTAGTTATAAATAAATAAATGAATGAAAGAAAGAAAGAAAAGGAAGTTTGCATGATCTGCAACCCTCAGTGACACGCGTTCCTTGAGATCTCTGCATTCCTTTCTGTAGATGCTACTGTGTCAGTCCTTGATATAGAATTTATCCACACTAGTATTTTAGTTCAAACCAGAAGCATCCTTTTGAAGCAAAGGTCCCGACCATTTCCACTCACTGCACGGCAGTTCATGTCATGAAGATGCGTTAGGCATGTTAACTGGGTGAATTTCAGATGAGACTAAATTAGAAGAATACCTCCAGGAACACGTGTAGGGCACTCCAACTGCTACAAAGCTTTCAGTTAGAGTTAGTCACAAGAAAATGTCCCAGAATTAAGATATTCAGGCTCCATATCCTCAGCTCTAACCGTTTTACTCTACAGTTCACTTGCCAATGGACTGCGTTGCTTGTTCATGTATAGCACCTTTGCATAGCACCTCTTGTCTGCTATAGATGCTTTAGATGAAGAAAGCCCATGACAGCATAAAAAAAACCCCAGCAACACTTGGCAAACAAACAAAATTATGGCCAAGTTGCACAATGTACTTTAAGTTTTTTCTTCTCAAGGAACAGTACTAAATAAATAAAAAAAGTCCATTTTGAATCATAAAGTTTGTCTTCCCAGGTGACTTGCAGGTGTGGCCTCATATAGGTCTGGGCAGGGTAGCCTCATTCTTCAACATGTGCAGAAATGCAGCTGTCTCAAACCCTTTCATTTTTCTTCCACTTCTTGTCATGTGAGGAAGTTTTTCTGAAATCTAGCTTCAGCTTTCCTTTTCTTAGCTTGTGATCTTCATAGCTCCCGTCTTCCTACATTTTCAGCTGGAATAAGCTGTTTCCTTCTTCTGTTAGTCATTAACTGGAATTTATTTATAGACTTGATCACAGTCTCTATGGAGAGACATACATGCTACACTTGTATGTTTGCAAAAGCAAATGAAAATTTGTCAGTGGTGTACAAGAGTAGTTTTATTGTTTCGTGACTAGCTCCTCAACTGGATCTTTGTATAAACGATCATGCAGGGCAGTGGCAAAAGCCCAAAGCTGAAATAAGAACTCTTTTTCCTGTGTATGTGTAAGGCTGGCCAGGGAATAACTGCACCTTGCTTTGGCTGGGTTGAGAGGGTTTATTTTCTTATAAAGATGAGGATTCTGTTTCCAAAACTAATATTTTGTCCCACCATTTTTAGGTACCTGACTTGCTGGCACAATTAAATGCTAGGTTTGTAAAACTGAATATTCCTGGAGATTTTGCTTAATATGGAATCTTCCTTTTCTAGAGTGACTGAATTAACTGGATATGAACCACAAGATCTGATAGAAAAAACCCTCTATCACCATGTTCATGGCTGTGATGTGTTCCATTTACGATATGCTCATCATCTGTGTAAGTAATAAGAATGGTAGAGTGAAATTTATTTAGTAGAGTGGGAAGTTTTGCAGGCAACAGGCACTACATTGGAAAAAAAAGAAGTCTTTCAAAACCTTGACTGGAGATAGATTTTCAAAAGTGCTTGGCTATCACTTAAGGAAACCATTACTTCTGCAAGTAAGCTAAATACTCAATATACCGTGCTTCTGAAAATAATATGAATCTGGCTACTTTTATCTTTAGGATCTGAGCTCTTTTGAAAATGTGGACTTGATTCTGGGTGGTGAACTCCTAAAGGGAAAAAAAAAATACGAAAGAGCAAGTGAGTGAGCAAGAGTGGAAAATCTGGACTTTACTAGTCTCTATTAGAAGAAAAATTATGCAACAGCTCCCCATTCCTCTGAAACATGTTCATAATAAACAGCCCATGTTTGAAGTGAATGTAAGCCCCCAAAATCCTAAAATTAATGTTCTTTAGTAGCATGTGGGTGAGGTTTGGAGAATGGAGTGTCAGGAAAAAAAAATGCACGTTTAATATTCCTCCATCTGCAATCCGAGACGCTAATCATATCTTCAAACATCTGGACTTGGGAAGTAGTTCATCCAGTAGCGCATTAATTTGAGAAGCAAATTGAGGGAATAGCTGAAATCTGGACTTGGCTCACTCTGCTGCAGCCCATACAATGCAAAGATGAAATCCAAAAAACAATTATTAGTGAACTTTTTTTCCAGTTTGTTCCTGTGGACTGAAAGCAGTTGGAGTCAAATCCTTCTTTTAGGCTTCCTGAGGTTGGTTCTTCACCTTACTTTGGGACGTTCATGAGGACTTGGAAAATAAAGGAGGATGTAATTGTATTTGGCACAAACCAGTGCTGAAATTCCAAGTACTGGATTCTATTGACAGCAGAGTATGCTACAGAAAGCAGAAGCTGACCTTTATAGGAAGTTAATATTTGCCATAGTGTTACTGAAGATTTTGCTTTACGATCTAAAAACTAGAATGACCAGGGCATGATTGATTGATTTAGTGAAGCGTTGTTAGAGTTAGGGTACTATGCTGAGGTTGAGGTTGGACTTGATGATCTTGAAGGTCTTTTCCAATCTGAGAGATTCTATGATTCTGAGCTGCAGTGTGTAATGACCTCCTCCACATTCACTGGGGGCATCCACTGGGTTAGTAGCGCTAACTTCTGCGCCTGGTGGTGAATGTTGACCTATACAAAATCATACTTTATTGTCACAACTATTAAAAAATACCTATGTCAAGTATTATGTAGATGCTTCCAATTAGCTGCAATCATCTCTGGACAACAGTTTGTCCATTTGAGAGCAGAGTCATGGATAGCTCTGTGTGCACTGTAGACTTGTAGCTTGATTACTAGTTTGACCTGTATATGACTGGTGTTCTAAATAGGGACACATTATGTTTATTCAATTACTCAAAAACCACAACCAAACCACACACAAAGAAAAAAAAAAAACAAAAACATTATTAACCAAACAGAATAACTGAAAGCAGTTCTCTAGCTACTCTACCAGAATTACAAAGATAAGTCATTGAAAAGTTTAAAATAAAAAGAAAAATATGAAATATGTAAACATGAAAATATGTACATAGAAATTCATGAAATTTTCAAGGAAGCTACATACGAAGAAGCAAAAAGAAAAAAAAAAAGCTTGGTCAACAGTGGGAACAGTGTAGAATCATTGTCAAAATACTAAGTAATAGGAATTATTAAAACAGATGTAAAGTGTACAAACTTTCTCTGGGGAGCACTGTTATAACTCCCCCACCATCCATCAGCAAAAATGTCTGAGGAACATGAGCAGTAAAACTCTGGCAGGTTTGACGTATCATTCAATAAAACAATCTGATGATTAAGTGTCATCTGATGAAGAAATCTGGAGAGAAACATCTTACACCTAATAAGGGTATTAAGAGAAAAAAAAAAAAAGAAAAAAAAAAAAAAGAAAAGAAAAAAAAAGGAAAGAAGAAAAGCAATATAAAGCAGTGTAACCAATTGCTCTTTCTAAGAGGGAAAAAACAACAACCCTGAACTGGAGACCTGAAGCTTGTGAACTTTAAGTTAGGCAGCACAGAGAACAAAACAGAGGAATCTGAGAGGAACAAGTTAGAAGTGTAACAAGAACAACAGACTATGAGGAAAATGTACATGTGAATATTTGCCTCAGGTTTCTTGTTTTAAACATTTGATTTTCTTCCAGCTCTATGAAAAAGATTCTGATGTTTGAAACAGTGTTATTTATTTCTATAGCACCATCAATATGCACAGTGTTTTCTCTGCAACTGGGGAAATGTGGCCACACAAATAATGAGTCCTTGCCTTTTAGAATCTTGCATTCTAGTAGGCAGGATAGAAAAGCTGTTCTAGTACAGGCAAAATATTCCTCTTTTCCATTATAGAAGATACTTTTCTGGCTTTGGAGAAATCCTTTCATTTCTACCATCATCTTTTTGTGAAGAAGACTTTGAGCATCCCACATGTTTTAGCATCATTGCTCTTTGCACCTTGTAATTTTGTACAAGGGTCACATCTTTGCCTTGGAAAAGCCGTAGCCCCAGCTGATGTCATGCCCAAACTGATTTGCTGTTTCCCACAAGTTATGCATTTATAGAACCTATCTGGTGGAAGAACACAGTTTACTGTCCATGGCATTGCCTTTGCTATTGCTTCCACAGTAATCAGACCGTTTGGCAGAACTGCACTAGTTTTTAAGAGAGCAAAAGAACTAGGGCACCATCCCCTGACCACACTGCTCAAGAGCTGGACTGATGACATACAAGGCTGTGTGTGCCAGGGACACTAAAACAATAACTGCTCTGAGCATGGAACCAAGAATTTCATTTCTCTTAGTGATATCTTGAAGTGTAGGCTGGCAACTCCCAGCCATATGCCTGTGAGCCTGCTGGAGCCTTTTAAAATAGACATCTGTGATAGACCAAAAGGGGAACCCAGCCAGCCCAATGCCTTTTTCAGCTTGCCTGGTGAATGAGGAGAGAACCACAACAGAGGATCACCCAGCTACAAATTGCACATGTCAGAGCCAAGGGTAAAGCCACTGAATCCTTCCCATCCCATTGCAGTGGAGGCCACCAAGAAGTCTGAAGATTTTATTGGTAGTGGACTTACCTCACTCCCATTTCTGAGGTTTCCCAATCAGCATCTAATAAGGATAATTTAACAAAGAGTCAAATGGAAATTAACCTTATTTTCTGTATTGGAAGCATGGCTACTGTCTTTTAGTCAAGGTCAGACTTTCCCCAGATTGCTAAAAATGCAGTAGACACAGAGTCCTCCCCCTGTCCCAGGAGAAATACTGTTTTATCCATGTAATTAGGAAGAAAAGTGGAACGCTGCAGTACTCAGTGGTTTTTACATCTTTTACAGTCCTGTCTTAACTGGAGAGCTAAAACAGGGATTTAAAAAAAATAAAAAGGAATTAGAGAGAAAGAAAGATCAGAACTGATCCCAAAGCATCTGGATGAACTTCATGATAGCTAGCAAAACATCAGACCATTAGATTCTGTTTTGAAGGATGGAGGCCACATTAGAAAAATTATGTTAAATGATCTGGGCAAAAATATAAGCCCCTTTTTCTAGAACTGTAAAATTTGGAATACAGAACCACAAGAAACATTGTGATTTCAGGGCACAGTATTGGTTATTAACAAATATTTTTAGAACAGGCTTCTGTGGCATTGTTACACTGACTGCTGAGTAGCAAACGCAACACATTTATCTTTGTGAGATACATTGCACTTAAACAGGATATATGTCTATATATTTTGTGGGTTTGTTTATAAACTTGCATACATTTTCCCCATTATTTTTTTCAATATCTGTGCATATGCACCCTCTATCACCCTCCACCTTAGTATTCTGCGTAGAAATGCAGGCATGAGAAGGAGCATCTGCAAATATGAAGTAAAATCTCGTATATAGAAACTTCAAACTCTAAACAGCAGTAGTTTGTTGTTAGCAGAGATTGGTTTTTGAATGTCCTGCAAGATGTTTTTATTTATCTCCTTGATTTCTGAACAAATGGGTGCCATATCCTATAATTCAACCCTATGCTGAAGGACTTGGGGATCCTGATGAATGATAAGCTGCACTTGAGCTGGCAGTGTGCCCTTACAACCTGGAAGGACAACAGTATCCTGGGCAACATCAAAAGAGCAATGGACAGCAGGGAGGGGATAGGAACTGTCTCCACTGCTCTGCCCTTGTGAGAACCTGACTGGAGAGCTGTGTCAAGACCTGGGGTCCCGAGCACAAGAAAGATGTGGAGCTGTTGGGTTGGGCCACAAAGATGATCAGAGGGCTGGAGCATCATTCTGATGAGGACAAGCTGAGGGAACTGGGCTTGTTTAGCTTGGAGAAGAGAAGGCACTGGGGAGGTCTTGGTTACTTGAAGGGATTTTATAAGCAGGAGGGGGATCGACTTTTTACATGGTCAGATAGTGATAAGGCAAGGAGGAGTGGATTTAAACTGAAAGGGAAGATTCAGGTTAGATTTTAGAAAGAAATTTCTTGCTGAAGCGGCAGTGAGGCACTGGCACAGCTGCCCAGAGAAGCTGTGCTGCCCCATCCCTGGAGGTGCTCAAGGCCAGGTTGGATGGGGCCCTGGGCAGCCTGAGCTGGTGGGGGGCAGCCCTGCCCATGGCACAGCTTAGAACTTAGAACTTTAAGGTCCCCTCCAACCCAATCCATTCCGTGATTCTGTGAAATGATTCTACGACAATGGAAGAAGAACTAATGTTTCCAGAAATATCTGTCTATAAAAATCAAGAGCTTGATTTTCTTAGGGGGATTTACTGGATCTGATGAAAAGTCTAATCGTGCTCTATCTTCTGCTGAGAGCAAACTGTCCAGAGAGAGCACCCATATGCAACAGACTTAAAGGGCTTTTTACCAAGAAGAAATCTTGCTTCTGTTTGTCAGTCTTCTGTTGGACTATTTATTATCCACATTATTGCAATCTCTAATTGGTATTGAAGTTACAAATGTACACTCTCCCAAGTAAGAAGTGAACAAAAAAAAAAAAAAGCCAACTCCAGTGATGACTGACAGCCATATGATTCAGTAGCAAATAAAACAAATAAAAAATGATTACACACTTCACTTTTTTTTGTTCTTGGCTTAATTCTGGATGCCCTCTCACAGAGAAAGAAGGGTCATAGCAACATAGCATAAAATACACAGCAAAATACACAATTATCTTTCAAGCAATGAATACGGAAAGTGCTTCCAAATACACTAGAGTGTTGTGTCCACTTGAAATATTTCTGCTGCCTTGAACTCCTTTTCAGTCAGAGGATTAGAAACAGAAAATGCTTTTGCAGAACATAAGAGGGAAAAAAGTAGGGTGAACTGGAGAAGAATGGAAAACAAACTTAAATAGTTCACAACATACTATTTGTAAACAACAATGTGACATCGTGAAACTATATAAAGGAGTAGGGTAGACGCCTGTGCAAATAAGTTATTTGAAGTTCTGTGGGAGAAGGAAGTCTAAGAAAGGAGGAGGAGGAAGAGAAGTCCCTCCCTTGCAAATAAATCTCTCCAGGGAATCTCTAGGTCATAACTCCAAGCAATGTGAAATGCTTTTTTTTTTGTATTTTACTCACAGTGTTGGTGAAAGGCCAAGTAACAACCAAGTACTATCGACTACTGTCCAAACAAGGAGGCTGGGTTTGGGTGCAGAGCTACGCTACTATTGTCCATAACAGCCGTTCATCACGGCCTCACTGCATAGTGAGTGTCAATTATGTCCTTACGTAAGTCAAAATACTTTGTACCATTACCTGTTACCGGTAATTGATTCTTTACTTAAATCCTTTAAGTTTGTTTTACTTGTGTCTTCTGTTATCATTTTGTGTTTGCATGCTTCAGCCACTTTGCTCTCCTGATATCCTCCCTGTTTTAGTTATAAAAGCTTATTGAGCTAAAAAAAAAAAAAAGCTTGTATTTATGATGACTGTTTCATATACTGCATGTTTGAGTGCATAGCACCACTGGTAGCTATTTGTGTTAAGTCTGGATCCCAGTTCTGCAACTATCGTCAGAACAACAGTGGTGCTATCCCAACACAGTGCTCCTTAGCAGAGATCGCAGTGTCAGTTCATGAGACAGTAGATAGTAGAAAATGTTACTCCTCTAAGGGATGGTGGATAACCAAGGATTCCCTGACTTGCACTGAACAGATATACACAATGACAAACAGCTCCCACTGAGCTTGTGAATGTGCAGTGTTTTGGGCCTGCTATTTCTGATTTCTGGTTCAAGCCACAAAGGTATTACAAAACTCTTATCATGATATAAGCCTAAGAGAGACAGAAATCCACATGGGATAAGTGGGATAAGTAATAGTGAAATAGACTGTGCCTGAAAAAAACTATCTGTTAAAAAAAAAAAAAGATAGTGGGCACCATTGGATTGAACAGCAGTGGAAGAAGGCAAGGAACTACACACTCTTTTGTCTAGGTTTGTTCATTTCTTAACTTGCATCAGAGTAAATTGTGTTTGCATGACATGTGAGGTGGGGTCATTTGTGTTTGTGTGTTATAATTCTGTATCTATTACTTGGTCTTGAAGAGTTGAAGCATAAGAGCTAGCAACCACAGTGTATTACCTTAACCTACCTAAAGCAGGTATTCAACCCTGATGGATAACTGGGCAGTACTACGCTCATTCCTGTACTGCTGTGAGATAACAGCACCAAGGAGATACTCAGTCCCACAGCCAACATGAGTTCCAGGAGCTGGGGCACTGACTGAGGAAACTGTGCCAGGGTCATAAGAGCATAATCTTGAGTTGAATTTACTTCCACGTTATTCACCAAGAAGCGATAGAAATTAATTCTAGATAGGAACTGAGAGAGAAGTAGGTTTTCCTCTAGTTTTCCTTTCACAAATATACTCCATTGTTTCTACTGACAAAAACAGAGAAGACAACTTACTCATCAAAAATATATTAATTTTTGTTTCAGTAGATGATTCACAGCTTGCTCTTGTTTTGCTTTTTATCCTCTTTTGTACAGAAGTCTGCCCGGTATATAGAACAAATGAAACTGAACACAACAGAGGAGAAATTAAATTCTAGAAACTGTCAGAAAAACAGCATTGCATTTCCTCTGGTCTAGCTACAAGGGTACTGTGCTGTTGGGAACGAAACGCTGCTCTTTTGCCTCTCCTCAGAGCAAGCTGTGAGTGAACAGGGAAGAGACCAGCTCCTGACTGAGGAGACAGATTAATTGATCCATGTCTTCCTATCAGCTGACGTGGTTATGATTCCAAAATACAGAGTACCACAGAGGGCTGAGAACAATAATTTCAGAGAGCAGGGACATCTAGTGCAAAGATGTCAACTCTGTTAACCCAGCAGAATGTTTGTGATAGACTCCCATGAAAACAGTCAGACTGTAAAATTCACTGCCTGCCAGCATTCTCATCTGAGCAGACTCAGTGAAAATCTTAGAAGAATGAAAACATCGTGAATGCTAATACGTATTTTCAAATGAGCTATTTTATATTTATGGTATGTTCTGAATATGTAATTTATTGGACTGTTCTTTTGCAGAGATATTGAGTATAAGGAACTTCAGTTGTCACTGGACCAGGTTACCATTTCTAAGTCACAGTTTTCATGCAGAAACTCAGTATCTACCTCGCAGGAAACAAGGAAAATAGTAAAACCCAAAAGTAACAAAATGAAGGCAAAACTCAGAACAACGCCTTACCCACAACAGGTAACTTTCTTGGCGGTATTTACCTGCAGTTACTGTGGTAGAGTCCTTGAGCCAGGATAGAGATCCTCTGTAGCTGAACTTACCGTACAACTGACTACAGTAGGCTCTTCTGCAGGAACTCCCTTGTAGGCCAGCATACAATGCGAACCTTTTGTTCTTGGGGTGGACAGCACAAGCAGTACAAAACAACACTGGCAAGTTGGCAAACAGAAAGACTTTTGGATTTGGAGGATATAAAGTCCTTAAAAAACCCAACATGTTTTTTTGGTTAAAAAAAAAAAAAAAAAAAAAAAAAGGAAGGCAATGTATTAAGGACAGTTGTAGGGTAGAACGCATCTCATTCACTGTTGATGCGCAGATTTTTTAATGTCACAAAGATACTGGCAGTTTCCTTTTGCCAGAGAAGGCTTCATAAAAAGGAGTCCTACAAAACACACCATTGGGATGGGATTTGGGATATCTGTCACTGTCTCTGGGTGAGTTAGAACTAGATGGGAAGGGAAACAGTGAAGATCATGAAACAGGGTTGGTGAGACTGATACAAAACATGAGACATTCTAAGGCTTCGCTGAGAGGGACTACTATTATCTTATAAAAGTACCAAATTAAGCTAGCACGTACATTTCAGTCAAAACATATTCATGGTATGTAACTCCACTAATCAGTAACTTCCTGTGCTTTGCAGCAAATTCATGCTCTCTGTTATTTGCAACTGCCTACATTTACTAGCTAAAATCCAACTGGCAAAATTATCAAATAAAACCTTAGCATTAGGATGTCAAAATTGTTCTTTGTTTCTGTGTTAAGTGAAGGTAAACCACAGTGAAGATAAAGAATCTTAAACGCATGGCAAGCCAGTCCCTTTAGCCAGTGAGATTGCAGTTCAAGGAGGCCCAGCTTTGGGCGCCTTTATGACATGTTATGCTGTTTCATATTAAAGTTAGTCATTTAACTCTCTCCCCCTCATTTTTTTTCTTTCCCCCAGCAATACAGCTCATTCCAAACAGACAAACTGGAATGCAGCCAGGTGGGAAACTGGCGATCCAGCCCTGCAGTGAACGCTGCCACCATTCAAGAACAAAACTTTCATTCAGAAAACAGTGAACTTTTATATGCTCCGTCATATAGCTTGCCTTTCTCTTACCATTATGGACACTTCCCTGTAGACTCTCATGTCTTCAGCAGCAAAAAGCAAATGCTGCCTCCTAAGTTTGGGCAATCTCAAGGCAATCCTTGTGAAGTGGCTCGATTTTTCTTGAGTACGCTGCAGACAAATGGAGAATGCCAGTGGCATTACGCCAACTCCTTGGTATCCAACAGCCAGTCACCATCCAAAAATCTTCCTGAGCAGCCAGTGAACATCATCCGACATAATCTTGGACAGAGTTATGAAGGTGGGTGTCGCTTTAAGAAAAAATGGAAAAGAAAAGCTCTGGAATGTCTGGGAAATATTTGTAAATGTAATTTGAAAATAGGAAATACAAGATGGTTAGGAAATGTAGAAAATCACAAACATGGAAACATAACATCTAGTATGCTTATAGCATTTACATGTTTATCCTGTTTACCATAAGAACTTAATTTGGAGTATTAGGAGGGAAGGGATGCCATCCAGAGGGACTTTGACAGGCTTGGAAAGTGTTCTCATGGAAAATACATGAAGTTCAACAAAGCCAAGGTCCTGCACTTGAGCTGGGGCAAATTCAAGACAGCTGAGCATGGCATGGATTGAGAGCAGGCCTGAGGAGAAGGACCTGGGGCTGTTGGGAAGCTCAAGGTGAGCTGACAGTGTGCACCTGCAGCCCAGAAAGCCAATCATACCCGGCCTGTATTAAAAGAAGAGTGGCCAGGAGGTTGAGGAAGGGGATTTTCTTCTTCTCTCATGGAGTACTGTATTCAGCTCTGGGGACTCCAATGGTTCTGCTGGAGAGGGTCCAGGGGAGACAGTGAGGATGATCAGAGGGCTGGAGCACCTCTCTTTTAAGAAAATCTGACACAGCTGGACTTGTTGAGCTCAAAGAGAAGGTTCTGGTGAGACCTCACTGGGACTTTTGATATCTGAAGGGAATCTACAGGAAAGCTGGAGAGGGACTTTGTCAGGGAGTGTAGTGATAGGACAAGGGGTAATTGTTTTGAACTTAAAGAGAATAGAGTATGGGGTAGCACGGTTAGTTTGCAGTTGGAATTGATGATCTTTAAGGTCTTTTCCAATGTGAACGATTCTATGATTCTATGATTTAGATTCAGTATTAGAAAGAAATTCTTTACTCAAAGGGCACTGAGGTAGTGGTACAAGCTGAGAAGAGACGCTGTGGATGCGCTGTATCTGGAAGTTTTCAAGGCCAAGATAGATGAGGCCCTGGGCAGCCCTATCTGGTGGCTAGGGGACGGAGCCATTCTGTGATTCCATGGTTCTATTATCAAAGCATCAAAAAAATGCAATCACCGGAATCACTTTTAGAACATGGTAGTGATACCACCTCCTTTAACACTGGCATAGTTTGTCTCCACGTTTTGCTGTCAGAAACAAATGCACTTCAGTCCACATACAGAAATTAAAATAAACACAATCTATTTCCATAAAAATTGAAGGTTGTTCTTTCTGAATATGAAGCCAATCTGAATGTCTTTACCTTTCAGTCACCACAGGGAATGAGTGAATGAAATGCACTCTCTTCCTGCTTGATTTAAAATGTCTTCAATGGTCCTGCCTGATCACCTGCATCATCTCTCCATACAGACTGTCAGCTTAAATACTTTGAAGGAAACACTGAAAACACTGACATCTGAGATGCCAACCAATAAGAAATAACCATGCACAGCTATAAATGATTTGAACAGGCTAAAGATACACTCTAATCTTTAGATCTCATTCTCATTACACCTATCTGTGTACACTGTTTTGGCTATTTAAAAGTCACTGGACTGATTGACATAAAATTATAAGTTGGAAAAGTTTCTTTCTTCTAACTTCCTTATGGACAGGACGGAGGAAGTAATAAATTTATTCACATGAGGATAAATCATTAGATATCCCAGATCTGAAGGGTACATCCGCTGATGTTAAAATATGAACGTGTTACATAAAACAGAAGATGGTATCAGATACTGAAAGTGTCTCCCACAGAGTAACTTCTGTCCAGGATTTTGTCCTTTGAAGGACCATCTAATGTCCCTTAGCTGACAGTAGCATTTCACTGTCCTGCATTTGGGTTGAAAATGAATGATACTTAAGATTTCCTTACAGTATAGAGACATTAAATCTTTTTTTTTTTTTTCTGAGCCCAGGCTCCTCTACTGTGCTGACTTCCTTTTGCTGGTGTTGTGGGCTGGGTGTGATAAAGAGTAGCTTTGAACTAGAAGAGATGTTTTAGAAATGTTTTTGCCCTATCTGAAGGTGTTGTATTTTTGTGGACAAGAAAGAAGGATAAGTACAAGGTTCAAAGCCAATTACCCCCAGTGAGTCTTCAGGAACAAAGCTGTCCCTGTGTACTGAAGCCCAGCTTTTCATCTCTGCTTCCAGACTAATAGGGGCAGTGAGACTGGCTGAGATAGCAGATCCACCCCTTTGCTGATCTGATACACTGCTAATGGACATGGAAAGAACAGCCTATTTAGGAAACAGTCTGTAAAACTGACTGTTCAATAACTGACTGGCTGCCATAAAATTTGCCAGAAAAGCCCATTGAGCATAGAAGCAGACAAGCGATTTACCATTGGTTGGTTGATGTGGGCAGACAACTCCCATTAAATACGTGAAGCCAGAAGGATTCCACAGGAATACTGTTAAATCTGTTTAGAGAAAAAAAAAAAAAAAAAAAATCCCAACAAATCAATGCAAGGAACTGCTGGTTTTTTTCAGTTTCATCACGCATGCCTAGCTGCACCATCTCTTCATGACCAGGAAAACAGAGCTCTGATACCTGCAGTTCTTGTGATATCACTTCTATTTCCACTTTTGTTGCTTAAGTTGGAGTATGTGAGTTTTCTTTTGAGCAGAGATTTACTTTACTTTAACGGGTGCTTAGCTATTAAGGAATTGAGGAAAAGTGACTTGATATGACTAATTCTCTGCAAGATCCCTCATACTTTTGCTATTTAGAAGGGAAAAAGATTACAGTCAACTCAATCCTGATGAGAGATCACTACTGGAGTTCACAGGCAGCATTAGGAAAGGGAAGAAAAAAACAACCTCCGTTGCACACAGAGGATTTATCTCTAGTTGTTCTGGGCTTTAACTCATTCTAAGGAAGAATTAGTCCTGTTGTACTTCTGCTGAGGCTGCTGGCAAATGAGAAATCTGAACTTTTGGAAGCAGCTTTTGCTTTGAGTTAAAAGGGGCATCTGATCTTCCTTACATTGTCAATTATTGCTTTTTCCAGTGGTTCACTGACAAACTGACAGCTAGTAAGCTTCAAAGCAGAGAGGATCTGCTTAGCATCATTATCTTCAATCCAAAGGCAATGCCAAATATGACATCTGGCAACCGGGCTGGATGCTAGGTCTATTACACATCACATCCACAGAGGCATCTGCCAAAAATACCATAGGCGAGAGACATCTTTTACTATGGAAAATAGTGTCTTTTGGAGAGATCAGAGATTTTAAGATGATTATGCCAAGCCATCAAAGCCCTGGAAAAGCACGTAGCAGATAAAACTGTCTGCAAATCAGATGCTGCTGCCTCAGAATCTGGTTTTGAAACTTCTTCTACTTTATTCCAGCTGGTCTACTCATCAGAAAAGAGAATCTCTTCAGAGAAATCAACCATCTTTGTAGTCAGGGATGTTTCCTTTGTACACTTCCATGGTTACACTGCTACTGCGGTACAGAGTATCCACACTTCACTTAAGTCATGCTGTTAGCCAGTCTGTACCACCCACGTGAAGCTTAGCATCACGTTGAACTGTCAGGAGTATACTTTTCTGAGATCAACGTAGCTCAGAAAGCCCAAGAAAAATTATGCAAGACAATTATGCATGAAGAGACCTTCATCTGTGATGTAAAAACTGACAAGGTTTTCTGAAGTTTGGATTCAAAGCTGCCTGGACCATGCACCAAGTGTAGGAAGGTCTATTCTACGTACTGGTCTTTCTTCATTGATTCAAAGATGTCTTTTTGTCATTTCTTATGGGCAATGAGAAAACAAGGAGCGGCTCTACCTCTTAACTGACTCTGACACTTCTTGTCAGACAAAGGCATGTGTATGAATGGAATATCTTTTCTGAGAGCATCTTTCCTATACTGAACACCAACAGGCCTTTAACAGCACTATGAGAAAGTCAGGAGGGAACACGCCTCACTACAGCACCAGGTTAAACAGGATGAAAACTACTCTAGTATACTGCAACTATGCATATGTATTATATGTTTTACAGACTAGTTTATTCTAGAGTAGCCTTGCTTGTTGTCACTTGGGTGGTTGGATGCTGAACTCTCAGCAGGCTGGCAGGGAAGGTGAGCTCTTATCACCAAATAGACAATAGTCTATAGTCAATAACTGACTGTCTGCCATAAAACTTGCCAGAAAAGCCCATTGAGCATGCTGCATCCAATGCACAAGTGGGAAAGCGGGGCTGCTTGGTGAGAATTAGCAGTGACATGATACCTGATGGACAGAGCTCACTGCTGCAATTGTCAGTTGCTATGAATGGAGGTGGTATAAGTATGTATGAAGGGCCTTCTAGAAGCTACTATCACTCTTGTATGATATATGGTCTTATGGAACATATGGAATATGACGGAATAGCTCTGTCACTCAGCACAGCCGAGTTCCCCTGCCAGAAGAATGGGCTGGGAAGCATCCCAAATTAGTTCACTGACACTGACAACTGTAAAGGGTGCCCAGTGAGTGAGAATGAACAGAATGCACCTGGCTGAGACAGGTACCCTGATAACTGCCCATGTGCTGGATGGCTGGAAGCAACCCGAGGATACTGCCCTTTCACTGCAGCACAGAGCAGTGGGTCTTTGTGTATGACAAAACTCCCTGCAAGGAGTCCTTCCCAGGTCACTTCTGGGTTTTTATCTGCAAAGGAAGATGAGCAGATTTTAGTCCAGCTCTGCCAACTCTTCTGAATGGAAGAGGACAAAAACTACTGTGCTCTGCTGCACTGCTGTCCTGCTTAACTGTCTGCTCTAACTCCACAAATGTGCTGACAACTTTAATGGAAGCCTGCAAACAATTAACCAAATGCTTACCTTCTTCCTCAACATCAGAGATGAAAACCATGTTCGAGGCACAGGATAGGAAAAAAAAAAAAAAAAGGATAATATACCTTGTAAATCTCTGAGTATGCAAATTACTTCTTGGACCACAAAAGAAGCCATTAGCTGAGCAGAATTCAAGATTAAATAAAAAAGAAATAAAAAGACTACATCCAACTGTTTGCTGTGATGCTTCAGCTTCTTACAAGCTTGGGCTCTAAAAATGGGAAAGGACAATCTTTTGTCCAGAGAGGAGAGCAGAGCCATGAGGCAACAGTACTTCATGATGCAATGAGAACCAACTCATGGCTAGCAGATGCATCAAGTTGGGGAAAAACACCAAAACTCGTATTCCAGCTTAGTTAAATCATACTGGTTATATATCAGCAACTCTCAGACGGTGACTTTTTTAATAACAAGAATGCCAAAAGTGGAGTTAAGATTACAGTAATACAATAATACTTAGAAAGTTTCTATGTTATACTCAAGCACGTGGCTGAGTCCCTGTTTTGATCTGTGATGTAGGAGGACCATTTTTCCACAGATGACAAGAATTCAGTTTAGTTAGGCCTGAATATACCTCTTGGTACAAAAATGGCTGCACAGAAATTAAAAACAAGAACTGGAAAGTTGTTGCTTCTGCAGGACTGTGGGTTGATCAAGAAGAAATTGGATCCAGATTTCTGTTTAAATTCTGGTGTTAATTATGTGGTGCAACTCCCTCTGAAATTAATGAAGCTGTGCATGTAAGAAAGGTACAATTGAGCTATTTCTGCTTCCTCTGTTATACACGAAGGTTTTGCCAGTCTACTATAGCACAGGGAATATTTAATTATTAGCGGGTGCAGTTATGTCAGCAACTACTACGGGGAACTCCAAAACTTTTAAAATGTTGAATAAAATGTTTAGGAAAACAGAAAATCCCTTTTACAGAAGGCATTTAGGTTGTTCAGGACTTTCAGTGAACATGGCAAAAAATTCAGCTTAAGTTTAACATGAGAAACTTGGTGCCTCATTGAACGTTTAACATCAAACCTTCAAATACGCCTTGTAGGAGTAGTTTAACTGCCAAACTGTTCATACAAAACAGCACAGAACATCAGCACTCACCAAATCGTAGCCATACTGTACAGGAGTGAAACAGTTCATTTTCTCTTATCATTTGTTGTTTGATAACACTGTACTAAAAGAAAACATCATGTAGGCCAAGCAGAAAATGACAAAAACAATTCAAACAATTAAATGAGTTTAGGCAGCATACAAAAGATTCAGAGAAAAGATTCTCAATATATTTTAGAGAAGAAGCCTGAACAGATACGCTAGGTTCACACGCTGCTAAAATTTTAAAATCTATCATCTTATTTTCATTGCACATCCAGTTTAGTCTCATGTGGATATTTTCAGCTTATAGTGTAGATCACGCTTTTATCATTCAAACAGTTTCACTACATGAAAGCTGAGATTCAGCATTACTTATGAAGTATTTCTGTTGCCTTTCAATAGACATTTTTAATATCTGTTACCGTTTTTTCAAAGGAAAAAAGCAAAGGCTTATCAAGATGAAATATCATCCTTCCTTTGATAAATTACTTGTTGAGTTCTGAAAAGAGCTTACTAAGTCTGAGGTTTTAAAATTGTGAGTCACGTTTGTGGTTATTTAGTTCTTTGCTGTAATTTCCTGATTCGACCATATTAACAGAGATTAATAATTATGCAATTATGCTTTTTAGTGAAAAGAAGCACTTTGCATAGCATGAAAAACATTTTGAGAATTGCTCAACACCGAGTGTCTTTCCAAATGCTTTCTAACCTTTCAGTAGTGTCTTAGGCTTATCCAAAGCCACTGAGGCAAATGGGAATGTTTCTGATGTCTTTACTGGGAGTCGGATCTGACCCACACCTAACGGGTATTACAGTTCAGCCATAAAATCTGTCAAAGTCCAACTATTGTATGAGCTTGTCTTCAGGAATTAACATGTTTTTTCTTTCCCCCAAGTGCCCGTATCGAACAGGAGATACAACCAAGATGCTCTCTCCGACAACTTTACAAGTTGCACAGCACCTATGCCAGGCAGCAGATACAAAGAAGAGATTTATGATTCCAGCATCATGAAACCCAACAAAATAGAAAACAGGATTCAGCCACCTCACCATCTCATTAAAGAAGAAAACAAGCTAGCTTTTAACAGAGACCTACAAGAAAAAATGAGCATTAATGAAAGCTCTTTTTCAAACTCAGTTGCTAACTCTTTGCTGCCAAAATCAGAATGTTTCCAATCTAAAGCTTTAGGACAATTAAGTCATCTCCTACCTGTGCCCGCAGTGTATGAACAAACAAGACGGATTTGTATGAAGGAACCCAAATATGGGCATATTAGTCACCATGCTACAAGCCTAAATGAACTGGACAGTGATGAGAGAATGACTGTAAAGCTTGATCACGACTCTGAGAGTGAGCGTGTGATGGATGTAAGACCCTCTGGACAAGTTCCATTTGTGCTTCTAAATTATCATCATGTTTTAGCCAAACATGGCACATTTCAAACTTCATCATGTACAGCAACGGGACACGTAGGAGAAAATTATGGATACAATTCTGAGGAAGTAAATACGTTTATGTACAAAAACCAAAGCCCCTCATCAGCCTCTTCTCCAGAAACCCACAAGGAAACGACACTACCCCATTATATTGGAACTTCTGTAATAATAGCCAATGGAAGGTGACAGTAGTAAAAGAGTATTTACATTTAACTAAGAAGCCAAACAGTAATGATTTCCAAAAAGCATGAGAAAACATAGTTACATTTACTGAGCACAGCTGAAGGTCAATGAGGGACAGACTTGTGTGTTCCTGGCAAGACATGTGTGACAGTACCTTCAAGGCGAGGAAAAAAGAATACATCTCGCTTCAGTGCTTTGTTGGCAAAGCTTAAGCTCTGGTGCCAGTGAGAAGATTTGTTGCAGATCTTATTTTTGTTATTTTATAGTGTGCAACAAAATTAAATGATAGGTGTTATATGCAGAGGTTTATACGAAGAACAATTTTTCCCTTAATCCTTCCTTCTCAAAACACATTCAAGATATTATTATTTTCTTTTTGTTATCATTATCATAAACTGTACACTCTAGATTAGGTATTTTTGACAAAGTGTGAAACCCTACATCAGCTACCCGCCCATCTGTTACACGTCCTGACAAATGAACTTTGTTTAAAGAGTGGTGATTTTTAGTATCTGTAATACAGTTGTACTAACCAAACATTATTAAGTTTGGAACATGCTTATTTATTACTTATCACACTTTTTTTTCAGTATTCAGAAATTTTTACTGCCACCATTTAATCTTAACAAGTGATGGTATTGTGACAAATTCATACATAAAAAGGTATGTATTAAAAGGTTACAGGTCTTGTCATGGTGAATTGGCACAAATCACACAGCAGGAGCTAAAGATATTCCTCAATAAAAACAGTATAATAAGAAAAAGAAACTTCTAAAAAGTGTATTTTGCTCAATATTTTGAGATAAGGACTTGTTGTTATTCAAACCAGGTAGTCAAAATAACATCTTAATCTTAGCATCAGAAATGTTCTCTTTATTGTCAAGGGAATAACGAACATTTAAGCATGATTTTAAAATTATTTGTAGCCTTCTGAATTTGAAAAAGTTCAGCTTTTAACACACTGGACTTCATTAAGCATAAATCTCATTGTCAACACGAAGGTAAGATTCATTATTTGCCTGATTGATGCACTTCACAAATTATGTCAATGGACAATCTCAGTAAGAAAAGTCTGAAGTCATTGCACAACCACAAGACGCAAGATTGCACTGGAAGTAGAGCAGGATACCTCAGTGTTTTGAAGTGAACACTTTGCACATGTCTCTGTTAGTCCAATAAACTAGCAAGTAGAAGGCATATGCCATACATTTGAATTTCGTCCAGCCTACTAAGAATAGATTTCCCCTTTTTTCACTTCTCCATAATGTTTGCAAACCAGGAAATAAGGAGACGTATAGGATCTGTGAATGTTTTACTGATGAGCCTGTCCAGTTTGTCTTTCCATTGCTTCCCCAAACAGTCTTCATGTGCTTTGGACAAAACAATGAACACTCCCCACGTAATAGATGTAAATACCAACACTGAAGGCTGCTGTAGTTTTGAGCCAGCTGTATTTAGCCCCATTTGTTCACCCTATTCAAGTTTACATTTTAGAAGCTTTCTCCCTCTTATCAGACGCTCTAGAAAGAGACCTTTGCTAAAGAAAATGCTTACCTGGCTTGTGTAATATGGAAAAATACTTGCTCATGGATTGCACCTTGTCAGAGGAAAATGTAATGAAATACACACTCTCTTAATTACACGCCCTCCATCTTCTACGTGCAGCAAAAATAATCAGTCACCTCTTTGTATGTATGAATATTTATTGCTATGAGTAAACAAAAATACTTCTAACACATCTGAAAATAATTTTCAGTATTTTTATTGCTTTTGATTAAAAGTTTAACAGAGAAAGCTTTGTTATGAAATTGAATTCATGTTCGCTTGGAAACTCAGTCGTCTGACTTCATTTACTAAAAAACATATGAAAGATATCTTTCATGATAAATATGATCAGAAGTACCGGATCTGACTTTTTAGCAACAACATAAAATGAGTGAAACCAAACCAACACCTCCAGTTTAATTGCACTCGTTCGTTCTTCTCGAGCTGGAGAATGTGGCAAAGCTATAGAAATGCTATGTGTGAATGTTATTATCATTCTGATGTTATGAATTGCTGAGACATGAGCTGGCTTTATAGTGGCTTTCTTTAACGGCCTTCCCAGCCAGTGTTCCTAATGAACGCAACCAACTTCTTAAAAGGTACAGTGATGCTAAGACCTGTATGTTAATTTTCTCAAATTAAAGCCATGCCCTATTAAGGAGAAACTGACATTGCACCATTAAAAAGAAACCTGATGCACAACTGCTTCATACTGCAGGTCTCCCAATACCTCATTAGTGGCATTGCTGCACACAAAGTCAATCTGCTGTATTTTCCTGTTCTTCTAACTATTTCTCATTACAAAAACATGTTTTCAGGAACATATAAATTACGCTTCAGTCAAAAAACCTCCACTGATATTTTTCATTAAAATACCACAAAATATTTTTCCAGCCTCTACCTTGTTATTCACACTTTCAGGCTTTATTCAACAATCTCAAGTAAAGGAGGTGTTCCATCACCCTCCCACAGAAGTTTTACAGTATATGAGATTCAGATACATGAATTTCCCTGTTAGGAAATAACGACTCAATTACGCATTCACATCTGATAATGCATTGTAGATTTAAGAAAAGATCTGTGATTAAAAAAGCAAACGTGTGAAACATTTTTCCTGCCATTCAGAAATGGAAACAGCAATTGCATATTCACAGCTGGAATGTGAGCAAATTACATCGAGAGAAAAACACGAGTTCAGACATTGACTTTCAGTCAGTTAAACTACAGATGTTCACAGTACATTAATGCTGCAGAATGCGATGTGGCCACTGAGAGTGGCAATGCTCCCAGCAATTGGAAAAAATTATCACACAGAAGTGGAGTGGGAATAGGACTACATTACAAAAAATGCCCAAATTTCTTTCAATTGTACATAGGTGAGCTAATATAGATACTTCTATCAGAGATGCCTCTTTCGTGCAACGTGACAGGATTGTACGTCTCGGGGGAGGGCAGGGCTATAGCAAGTACATGTGGAATGGAAGAGAGAGAGTTGAGAGAGGGAATATCTTACCAAAACCTAAAGTTGAAAACATGACTCCCATATTGATGTCTCAAAAGTTTTTTCTCCTATTCATGGAAACTGTGCAATGTAAATAAGGTGGTACGGGAACAGACTTCTCTCCTGGTGACAGTAGTTCGGTCATTTCTAAAGGGCATTTCAGTAATTTAATGAAATTGAGTGCATTGGGTTAAAGTTGTAAAATTTGAGCGTATCTCACTGAGATAAAGCGGAAAGGCTGCTTTTCTGAAGGATACCTCCCAGAATATCAGTACTTGTCTCTAAAAACCACAAAACATAGCACAAAGGATTTTTTCAACATTTCAGTCATACTTCAAAATTAACACAGAGATAGTATTACTATGTCATTTTTTTTTTTCCCGAACATTAGGTTTTGCTTTTTTTATATAATGCAGATATGAGCTACTTGGCAAATGTAGGAGAAAAAGCACGCAAACCAAACAATCTATTAATGCTCAAAATTATATATGTATTCCCTAAAAATGTAAAGCATTTTTGCTTATTTATTATGTAAAACAAAACTGTTAAAATGATAATAAAGTCCTGTAGCCAAAGGAAAAATGAGTTTGATTTCTTTTTCACCACAAAACACAGGGCTTCACATTGTATATTGGAAAATTTATTTCAATTCAACATTTAATTTGACTCTTAATGTCTTACAAAATACAAGGATTTGTATCCCATTTAAGCTACATTGCATTCTAAAGAAAGAGTCTTGGAGAACTGAAAATAACACAGAATAGCTAATGAAACACTCTAATGCAAGATATTCAAATGCAGCATCAGTTCACAATTCTTCCCTGCAGTTCTCTTAATCGATTGATTGCTACAAGATGACAGTCGGCTGCATGCCACTGTTTTTTGACCTCTGTTCTTACCTCAGTCCAGATTTAATTTCTTTGCTCTCTGATCAGTGCTGTGCATCACTGCCACATCTTATGCATGCAGATGGCTTTATCAGAGCATTTCCCCCCAGGAATCCATCAGCTGTTGGCAGCACAAATCTTTGCCATGACAGCTATTAAGCTGTACTTCAGAAAACATTTATAGCAATTATCTGTTCCAAAGCAGTTGCAGAGAGTAATTTTTTTAGACTTGTGAAGTCTTGTAGCTGCATCAGAAAAAGTAGAGAAATTAAACAAAGTTGAGCAATAGAATAGCAGCATAAAGAATTAAATACTCCAATATTATTTCTAGATAATAGCCCTTGAAGTATATGATATTTCCTGAACAGATTCTTAAAAAGCTCTGAAATCTTATAAAACCTTTAATAGAAGTGAGATGCACTTCTTGAACTGTTACATGTTAAGTATGTTATTCTTTTTCAAATCTTTGGAAACAGCATTGGTCCTGCAGGGACGCAACCCACGTATTCGTTCTGAATGCAGACAGGTGCCAACACACTCAGCTTGCCCTGCAAAAACACTCCCTGCTGACAAACAACCTCTACAGATATTTTCACAATGTGTGATGAGAACACGTGTAACAATCTGAGAGAAAAAAAAAAAAAAGGAAGTCACAGAAATACAGACAGTGATTAATGTTCTATGAAAGCACTTCATCAAGATACGACATCAACTTCACATGAACGAAATGTTCCACATTTTAATAAAATTGAACAGTTTCAGTGCATTACTTCCGAGTCCAGAGATGCCCTACTCTCTCCATACCCGCGTTCTGAGACCACACGATACCACATTTGTCTGTCTTATGTAAAGAACAATACTAAAAATGATTTTCATAGAAAAACATTGTGGTTTTCAGAATGCAACAAGTTTGCCATAATAAGAGTACAATCAGTGGCTGTGATTCCCAGATATTCCCTAGGGATGAGTGTGGTATAGGAAGGTTCATGGGCTTTCCTGACAGTAGCAGCTGCTAGTCAAAATGACCTTATTCCAATGCTCTCTGTAAGCAGCACGCATTTTCTTTGTGA